GGAAGACTTTGTAGGCTCCCTGCCCACTTCAATAGACTGTGCCAATCAGCTAATTGGACCTAGAAGAAAGCTGCATAGGGGAGCCTTGGGAGAGCCTAGTTATTTCTCCAATGTTCTGCACCGCGTGGCACCTCCACAGCTGCCAGTTAGCTAGGCAGCACAAAATGACTACAAACATATTAGAAACTTGCATTTTTCAAGATATACAACTGAGAAACAATTAGGTAACTTTAAGCGGTTTACTCTTAGACTGGTCACTGTCACAGCATCTTCAAGGTCTCACTTTCAAGCATGCCTCAACTCCATCATCACACTCTGGCAGAGCAACATTAAACAGCTCAAATAGCATGCAAATCCTCAAACCACTTCTCAGACCCCTACACAAATTTTACTTAAAGTAAGTGGGAACTCCTGGCTCCTATTTGGTTGTTTTCCTCCTTGATGTTAATCTTGAAGTTTACCCTCACAACTACAAGCTATTATTTTATTACTTCCTCTGCTAACCACTGTCATTTATTTCTTCCTCAAGTTTCCCTTGCTTTCTGCAATAAATTTCTTCCTTGAATTTCACTTTGGCCTCATGTTTGCAGTACCTATTTTTTCCTTGCAACACTAGAATATTTGATTAATGACATTACAGCCCATGTTTTAAATTATATCATGCCACCATTGCTTTTCTAGATTTCTGTTTCTACTTATCTACTATAGAACACTCATCCCAGTACTTCTAAAAAACCTCTCCGCAAAAATAAGCTTAAAAATAACAAGAAACAAACAGCAGCAACTACAGCAATCCATCTGCATTTTACTAGAAGAAACTTAGCACAGAACAAAGGTAGCCTTTTCCTTCTGGCTCCCCACTGCTGAAGCAAGGACACACACAGCCCACGTCCGAACAGTCTCCCACATCTCTTTATTTCCTCAGAGGAGCAAATGCCCCGGTGGGGGAAGCCGGCTGGGGGGGCTGCTCCTCTCACCCCCGGCTTCTGTGCGGAGAGGCGGCAGTGGGCGGGAGATGACAGCTTTGCTTCACGCTGCGGCTGCCTCCCTTCCTTAAAATAAACAAATAAATAAATATATATATATATATATTTTCAAAAT